ACTAATGGACAAAGTATTGGCTCCCTACCATGGCAAATTTGTTGAAGTTTACCTTGATGACATTACCATCTTCTTCACTACCTTTGAACTCCACTGTCAACATGTTCCCATTATCTTGGATGCTCTCAGGGAAGCCTCTCTAATGTTGAACTCTGAAAAATATCACTTCTTCTTATTGCAAATGGAATTACTTGGTCATGTGATTAACCACGAGGGAATCCAACCTGATGATAACAAAATTGTGAAAGTTAAGGAATTCCCAAGGCCCACCACTATAAGGCAATTGAGAGGATTTCTTGGACTTGCCTCTTATTATAGGAAGTTTATCAAAAACTTTTCTTCTATTGCCCGTCCTCTAAATTCTCTCTTGGAAAAGGATACACCCTTTGAATGGATGAATGATCACCAGCAAGCTTTTGAAATTTTGAAGTGACTCTTAATCTTATCTCCTGTCTTGAGGTACCCTGATTTCTCCAAGGTCTTCTATCTTTATATTGATGCCTCTGGAACTGAAATTGGTGCTGTTCTGGCACAAAAGGATGGAAAAAAAGAGTATACAATTGCCTATACCAGCCACAGTTTCAACAAAGCTGAGCAAAACTATTCTACCACTGAATTGGAATATCTTGCAGTCATCTGGGCTGTCGAACACTTTCACCAATATCTAAGGACTCAACACTTCTTTTTGATTACTGACCACTCTGCTTTTCAATGGTTGAAAACAACTGAACTTAAAGGATGACGTGCAAGGTGGATACTTCGCTTGGAATCCTATAACTTCACTATTAAACACAGAGCTAGAAGGAAATACAACAATGCTAATGTCATGTCTAGTATGTATGATGTAGATGAACCAATCTTCCACAACTCTAAGTCTGCACCTATTCAAAACTAATTCAAAGTCAGCAATCACAAGTAAAATCTGACAATAAATAATATCCAGTCCAGATAGTTGATGTTCTGGACAACAACATAACCTAACTTATTAAAATAAAATTTCAACACTACCATCATCTCAAAAACTATCTTCAACATAACAAATTACCTGACACTTTTGAGAACAAACAACAAAAGCAACTTATCTCTAAAGCACAATACTACCAAGTGAAAAACAATCAACTCTACAAAAAAGATTGCTGCAGGAAAACAAGGAATCAATTACTCCGTATAATTCAAAAACATGATGTGGAACCAATTTTATACTTACTACACAACCATCCCACTGGAGCACATCTTGATATGGACAAGGTCTTTGAAAAACTACGTGATCAATACTACTGGCCCCAAATGTTTGAGGACATGAAGTATTATATTAACACCTGTGATCAATATTAACAACGAGACAAATTCAAGACCTCTGGACCCTTACACCCAATCACAGTTGATAACCCCTTTTCCAAAATAGGCATTGATATTGTGGGACCCCTTCCAATCACAAGCAAGGGAAACAAATATATCATCGTTGCAACTGATTATTTTACAAAATGGCCTGAAGCTGAAGCAATCTTCCAAGCTACAGGATAGTGAGTTGCAGATTTTATTTATCAAGTTATTATTTGCAGACATGGATATCCAAAACACATACTTTCTGATCATGGAACACATTTTAGGAATGAAATAATTGAAGCTTTATTGGGAAAATTTCAAATACAACATCTTTATTCTATCCCATATCACACACAAACAAATAGACTAGTGGAGCACTTCAATAGGACTCTATATGAATCTCTAGCAAAAATAACCGAGGGAAAAAAAGATTGGGATGAATTCATTGCATCAACATTATTTGCCTATCACATATCAAAACAAGCTTCCACCAAATTTACTCCCTTCTATCTGATTTATGGTCGCAATCCTCAAATGCCCTACATGGAAATGGATGAAGTAATGGAAGGAAATATCTTGACCCGACTCTACCAACTGACTGAAACCCTGCCCACTGCTCAAGGAACTGCCCAAGGAAATATTCTGAAAGCCCAAAGGAAACAAAAGAAGAGAATTGACCTGAAGTTGAAAAAGCCAAGGAACTTTAAAATTGGGGACAAAGTGTTAGTCTATGATGCTACCAAGGATAAACACTTTACTGAAAAACTCAAACCAAAATGAAAAAGACCTTACTTTGTATATGATAATTTGGGAAATGAAGCCTTTAAACTTAGGACGATGGATGGAAAAGTTCTGGCTGCTCCTCTCAACCTGGCCTTGCTGAAGCCATATATTGACCATGAAAAATGAAAATTTACTGTATATATTGAAAACTGAAAGGAGAAATATATAGTGTAATAGTGGTGGCTCCTGAGCTCTCACCACTATTACAGTCGGCCCCAAGGCTCTCAGCAATTACTGCATAATCACAAGGTGAAGTACTTATAAGTGGACAAGTGTAAACATGAAAAAGAAAAACAAAAACCTCAAGACTCAAGTGAGAAAAAGGTTCTATCCAAAAGAGCAGGAATAGGAACACCCAACTGGATCAATAGAACACCAAGCCTGGCTACCCTTTGCCACAAGTTTTGGTTTTCCAACTCCAACTCTCTGACCCTAGTTGAAATGGAACTTCTGGAGGCCAACCGCTCTACCTTTCTCTCCAACTAATGGATTTCTTCTTGAAGGTCAGCCTGGAACCACTCATCACAACGTATTTGTCTCTTCAAGTATTTGATCTTTTCTTGGAGAGTGATGACAGTTGCTCACAAAGGATCCATTCTTCCTGATCGAGTGAGTCTTTGTGCTTTGGCAGTTCTAGTTTCTCTTGGCATGATGACAAAAGGAATATGAGGAATACTCGACAAATCAAGGAAAATCCTCATATTAAATAGGGAAATATAGATGATCATATCACCCCAACAATTATATAAGGAGCTCTATTGCCTACCAGTTTGCAACAAAAAGGATTACCATACTCATGCAAAAATTACCATGACTACTGTTCAGAACCTAATTTTGAAGGATCTTCTAGCCACAATTCCTGAATTTGCAAGTAACCCCAATACCATATGATTTACTTCAGCCCATTGAAAATTAGGTTTTGCAAATATACAGGTGTATGCAACATGCTATCCGCATGAAAAACAGGATTCTCTCATTGGTTTATGCATACTATCTGAAAGAATTATTGGAAGAAATTATCAATCGATTACAACAATCCTATCTGAACAAACACCTGATCAAATATCATCTTACTGGATGTCACTACACTTATGACCTCTTTGAAAGGTCTGGGATTGAGCAAATTTAGAGAACAAGGCATACAACTTTAACTATGATTATCAAGTTGAAGTTCAATAAATATCAACTTCTTGTGGATTCTTGATTCATAGAACTCATCACTTAAGTAGAAGGGAAATGTTAGCTTTAATTATTAGTTATATTTTCCTTTAATTATGATCTATAGTTTTTGTCTATTGTATTACTTTAGTTCTATTTTTAGATCATGTGACATAGGTGATACAAGGAGTGTTTTATTGGTTCATAGGGTAGATCCAATCATTAGGGCAAAGTAGTGATTAACCTAATGCACATTATTTAATTTTATTATTTAATTTTCATATTTTATCTATATTTAGCTAGCAAGTTACCCAAGTGAGCTGATCTGACATATTGACCTAATTTGGCAAATCTGGCAGATTTGGTCACTTTGGTTATTTTGGTTACCAAATAATTAATATTCAATTATGTATATAAAGACCAGCTATCCAAAGCAGTTGACCCAAGGTTTTATCTACTGAACTCTCTTATCCTTGATATTATATATCTCTAATAAACCTTCTAATTAAACCAAATCACCCAAAGCCTCTTTCAACGTGTTTGTGTAATCTCTACTATCCTTGAATTATCAACTTTAGTATACCATAACCAAGGTATTCTCCCTCAACTTAAAGTGGATTACTGCTATAGTTGTCCCATCTACCTATCTGATTTGAAGGTTATTGGATAGGTTGACAATATATAGAACCAATAAACATTATTACAAAAAATACTTTAAACAACAGTTACTTTACTTTTTTCTTCTTTTCTATAAATATAAGTACTAGTGGAGTTTTGACATACTAGCACCTACCAAGGTGAACTGTAGCAAGTCACAGGATTTCTAATAATAGAATACTGAGTTATAGTGTTTTTTCCTTTCATAAATGTATAGACTCATAATTAAATTTGTATACATACTGTAAGCCTGTATTGATGAATTAATAAAAACTCAATGGCAAGGCTTCGCCAGTTAAAAAAAAATAAATTAATGTTTATTAACAAAATTTCTAATTTTAATTATTTTAAAATTTTTTATTTTTACTGTATATATAGCATATTTATTAATAAAAATCAATGACTTTTGTGAGTTACCATATTTAAGAACTTTTACATATTATCTATTTTTGTAAGTATAACGAAGTTTTTCCAATTCTCCAAGTATATATTAAGAAATAATATATTATGCTCCACTTTTAATATATTAATTCAACAGTCGTAATATACTTTATTAAATATATGAGGATATACGCATCAGCTTAAAATATAAACTAATCTTTCTCTAGTATTAAATCTTATAAAATTAGTTTAGTAATATGTCTATAAATAATTCACCCCAAAACCCACGTATACTGTATATAGATCAAATCGAATTATCGATTTATCAAAGGCATACAGGTAAAACACTAAATGGCCTAATAGGATTTGTTTCCTCCAAGTCTAAGGCATACCACAGACAATCTTTAGATCTTTTTATTCTGTTGGTAACTTGAAATATTTTACCAAGGTGTAACCTAATGTGACAGAATGTTTTTAAGTTAGTTGAAATCAATCAAAATATAATATCATGTTCACTTTTCCTGCTAATATGCAAGTTTTTATTATAGCGTACCATGCTTCTGCACAATCCCAACCGTTACTTTTTGTGACATCTTCAAGAAGGCTTTCGGCCATTTCGATATTATCATTTTCCAGATAAGTTCTAGCCAAGTGAACTAAAGTAGGAACATGTTGATCGTCGATTGCAAGAGCCTTATGAAATGAAGTAATGGCATCGGAAGATTGTCCTTGTAAGAAAAGGAGGATACCGAACTATAATTATTAAGTAATAAATTAAAATAAATAATCAATAAGCACATACAATAACCAAATAAAACCACATGTTACCTGACACCAAACATCCGGATTAGAGCAATCAGCATCTTCTGCACTTTCGATAGCCTTCTGAGCTTCTTCTAAATTTCCAAGGCGACGAAAAGCTGATGCAGAAAAAAGCCATAAGTCTGACAATGCCTTTGCTGCACGTTGACGCCTCAGCTTAGTTTTTAAGGTTTGATGCATTTGATGCGTCTGTTGCACTGATGACATTATAGATTTTGAAGAGGAAAGACCAGCAATAGTAGGCGTAGGGCTGCGTCGAGATGATGCCGAGTTCCTAGACGAAGCAATTGAGGGTGCATAATTTGCCTTTGGAACGTCTAAAAATAGAGTAAATTAGCATTTAATATAATTTCTTTCTATTCACAATTCGTAAGACGCTAAATAATGATCGTTTACCCAATGTATCCTTGTTACCAATATAAAGGCCAGATATTGACCCTTCTGCGCTGTTGTTTCCCTCTTTCTTTTCTGCGACACTAGAAGAACTACGTACACTGGTTGTACTCATGTTAACTTTTGGATTTGTTGGTGTTAGTGCTTCCTCATAGACATAATTTTTTCGCGAACTAAGCGTATCGTGTATTGAGTCACTTGGTGAACCCGGCCCATAATCGGGAAAAACTTTCGTATATAATGCGAATAATTTATCAGAATTTTGAATTGCCACATCAGATCCATATAATAACTCTTGCAAAGTATTCTGGGTTAACTTAAAGGCTATGAATTCTTCTCCGTCATCAATACCAATAGCAGTCAATGTGCTATAGTCTACAGAAGAGTCTGCCGTTTCCCAATCTGATTCGTTTGCTCCAACTTCACACGCTTTCAATGCTCCTTTAATATCTTTCTGCGAAGACATCAAGAGAACCAACAGATGCCAACATGGAATACTAGTGCTATCAAGTACAAGGGCCTGGCGCACGCTAGTACTTGCCTGACCAATGTCTCGAGTAATGGCATGTTCTAACGCTAATGAATAGTGAGTCTCAAATGCGTTAGAATCAAATGAACTTGATTTTGTGAATGCATCGACAGCACTTGCATGTAAATCTGGACGACGGTCTGGGTCTCTCTCTTAAAGTACAAAGTAAAATTACAATAGAATAATTAGAGAACTAAATAAAATAACTAGAATAACCTTATTTTCAAAAAAAAGAAAGAAAAGAAAAACCTTCTCGAGCCACTAAACTATACCCGACACCCACATAACGCCACGCTTGCGCTAATAATTCGTTATCGACATCACTGTCTCCGTTCTCACACCAGGCAACCGCCTTTTGCGCAAGTTCTAAAGCTTCTTTAGACTGTGAGGATGGTTTTAAATATTAGATATATTCAAGATAATAATGCCACAATCCTTTACAATAAAGAAGGCTATTATATTTAAATAACTATCAAAACTCATTGACACTGACAAGAAAAAGTTTCTCGGTCGTCTGTATTATAAAGTCCCCTTATTACGGACAAAATAATCATAAATTGTTAATAAAATAGATATATACCTTGTTCAAATGCTTGGCCATCAATTCGGATCCACTAATCAAAGATTGTACGATATTTTCTGTGCTTTCAATGGTATATTTATTCAAGGGGGTTGAAGCATCTTCAATCACATCTTTTCTTGTTTCTCGGCCCTTCTCAACTATCGAAACATAAGCATTTATCGCTAATTCGGCTTCCTCATAATCACCGAGAGTAATCAGGGTATTTAGAAGATGTCGTAAAATCTTGGGAGATTGAAATGTTTTTTGTGTGGCACGATAAAGCATCTGGACGCAAGTAAACATTGATTTTAGTACGTTTAATGAAGATGTTCATTTTACAAGCTAATAAAATACGGACGTCAGTAAGCCCTTTCATTTCTGATGCAGTGCCTCTGTTTAATAATTCCCAATCTGACATAACTTGGTCAACAAACTCCAAAACCCTCCAATTAGATTCACCAGCCCTGGGGAATGAAGTAATTTGGTACAAGACATTTTCATATGAAGAGTGCAATCCAGTTAATTCAACGCGAAACGTATGAGGAGTATATATTGAAGATTTATCACTTGAACAAATAGACATAAAATTGTTAGCTGTCAAAAAAGTAATGAGTAAACAGAAAATAATAGACACCAATATAAATGTAAAATACCTTATTGAGGTTGATGTACTTGGAGGAACATAAGTTCCGTCCTCATATGTTTTTGAGAGAATTTTAATAAAATTCTTGAAAATTATCGCTCGTTTATGAAGACAAAATTTGTCTCCCCATAAAGCGGCGTAGGTTTGATAAGTTCGAAATGTTTGAAGCGCACCACTCATATTTCTATAATTAGAATAAAATAATACATGGTTAAATAATCATAGAATGAGTGCTTAAAACTTGAATATTTATTTTTACCCTAGTCGCACTTTCAATAATGACGCTCTATATAAAGCTTCCTCAGACCAGTATATTAACTGCTCTGCTTTTTCGCCTGATTTTTGAGCCAAAAGAATGACTATCTGATCGTAGCACGCAATAGCTCCATCATTATCTTCAAGCGCTTCCCTGGCCATCCCTTCATATGAGAAGAAAACTATACGTTAGCAAATAAATAAATTAGATAAAATAAATAAATACTAGCGAACCTCCAATAGTTAAGCCTTGAATAATTAGCACGAAATTATATCCTGATGGCAAATTCTGTGGTACAAATTCTGTATCCAAAGTTTCGATACACTTGTCATGTCGCCCAATAGAGTAATATGCCCTCGCTAATATTATGGACGCGTACTACCGATTGTAGCAAACAAAATATATAATTTCTTCATCAAAACTTCTCAAGTCCTTTGTTAATTTTCCATACAAATAATGATTTCCTTAATTTAAAACGATAACCTGGGCATTTAGTTGCGAGTGATCAGTATAATCTGAAAGGCAAATAAAAATAGGAAAATAAAAATGTGCAAAAAAGAAATTTGAAATACCTCATTCCTGTAACAAGAAAAATCTCTATTAACTTTATTGATATTTGGGCTTACCTCTCTCTCTTGTCCTGAAGCCTGGGATAACGCGACCTCTAATTTTGTGAATACATCTTTAACCAACGATTCATCAACAGTCGGAGGTAACGTAATATTATCAGGAGTATCATTATCATAAGATTCTTCTCCGAAACCCTTTTCTTTTTCCGTCTTTTCAATCGCTTTCACCAATGTATACTCTGCCAACGCCGTTTGTTCAAGCACTAACGATATGAATGTTATTGATTCAGTGATAAATCAAAAAAAAAAACTAGAATCAGCGATATTCAACCTTACCTATTCCTGCCGCACTATGCTTTCTGAATTTCCTCGCCAGCTCTGGTATCGCATCCCAGGCGCCTTTTGATTTATTTCAGAATACTTTGAGTAAATCTTACCGTCAATTGAACTATTATTAATTCGAATACCTTTGCATCTTGCCACGTCGATTTCTTTTTCACGTTGGTTTGCTTTGGCTGGATTTACCATTGGGATTAATAGCAAAATGAGATGTGCAAAACCCTCGATTTTATGTAAATCTATCAAAAATTATTTATTTATGTGTATTATACAATGGCTTCTTAAATAAATGCACATCATTAGTAACGAAGGACTATACAGTATATGTATTTCTATGCATGTTATGTCTTCTTCTGTTGAGTCGATGGTCAGCCAATCAACAATCTGTATTGCTGATCAATGCTATTAATGATATTTTTTTAATTGGAAGCTTAGCTTTTTTTTTTTTTTTTTTTAATGCTGGCTTGGCCAAGTTTATTAGCGAAGTTTTACTATACAGGTACATATGACCAGAAGAAAACAATAAAAAGCTAGTAAACTAATGATAGGTTAGAAACCACTTCATGGCTGAGCCATCTCTAGATAGAGCTCTAATACAAGAGCCATTAGAGTAACAAAAATTTCTTATAGGATGAAATTAATGTATATAATGAATCTATGTTTATCACAGACCATCTGGTCTGTTTTACTATTATGTTCGATATCCTACTCTGCTGTTTCTATTTAAAAAAGAAAAATGAAGCTATAACTGTACAAATTTAAACAGGGGTGAAGATTCTATATTACAAAAAAAGTATAAAAAAAAAAGGAAAAATAGTTTGATTATGGTTAACTTGAAAACACACTATTACTATTATATTGATACCATGGTCTGGTTACTCTTCAAGAACTTCATCAGTTTAGAGCACAATACCTGTTCCTTTATTATTTTCAGTACCTCTATATTGTAGTTCTTGTCTACCAATTCTTTATCTTTTCCTTCTATACCTTATCTAATATGAGATCTTCTACTAATATTCTTCTGGATGATAATAAGTTGAGGTTTGAAGAACTTTAGGATATGAGTAAAAGAGCACCAGAAACTACAAAATCTTTAGCCTAGAAAGAAAAGTCTTGTTTCTTTCAATGCATACTTTTGTTAACCTGATAATTATTATACTATTTTTCCTAAAGTATTACCATCTGTAGAAATTAAACCATTGTTTAATATCTTATTGTGACATATTCTTCAGCCACTTGAAATCATTCAACTGCATGTTGGTGTTATTGATTAGGTATAAATGATTTTAAGATTTTCTTGATCTCTTAATATTCATGCTGATAAAAAATAGATATGGCTCTTTTAAAGCATTATTCTTGTTCTATATTTCTTTGAACCTAGTTATCCTTCTTCTTTCTTTATAGAGGAGAAGAGAGGATATGTTCTTTCTTTTTTCCTTAGCCAAATATGTAGGAGTTGACAATGTTCCTTATTCATTTGTACAAAATACAATGACTTATGGTGGACTCCAGGTTTTTATGAAGTTGAGGAAATGTATTTGAACATATTAAATGATTTTACTAATATAAGCTTTATTTGTCCAATCACAGTATAAAAAACTTTATGCTACTCAAAATTCAGGATCAAACTGAGGTAAGCAAAATTTTTTAAAAAAAATCAAGAATGAACACTATGAAAAACAACAAATGATAAGAAAGTGGAAAAGTTGTTTCTTATTACATAATTACTTCTGTAGTATTTCTCTATGGTGTGAAATGATAGTACATTAGTTCTTCTTTCTTTTAGAACTATCTTGCCATTGATAGAAAAGATATTTCTTGATCTTTATAGTTACTAGAGATTGAGTTTTTGTTTAAAGAGGATAGTAAGTAAGAGGAGAGGAGGTAATTGATGGCTCTTGAAATTTCTTCAAGTTGATTTAAAGAAAGTAGTAAGACTTTATTAACTTAAAAGTATAAAAACTTTTTGTAAATGTCTTTTTTGTGTATAGTTAAAGGATCATTAGAAAGAGTTTGTCTTTTAATTGAATTGTCAACTTAGCTATATTTATTAGTAATAATAAAGTAAGATATAAAATACATTGAAACTAATAAAAATATTATTAAACTTTCTAAAACAAACTCCTCTAATTATATACAAAAAAGTTGTTTACAAGAAATTCTTTTGCTTTTTTGCTAAAAAAGTTTTAATACTTTTTTTAAAACTCTTTAAAGAGTGATTTTAAGAATTATTTCTACTATTAGCCTTAATTAATAGTTATATTTCTCTTTAGTTATTATTTATAGTTCTTGTCTACTATATTACTCTAGTTCTATTTTTAGATTATGTAATACATGTGTTGCAAGGTATGTCTCATTGGTTTATAAGGTAAATCCAATTATTAGAACAAAATATTAATTTATATAACACATATTATTTAATTTTTTTAATCTATTATCTATATTTAACTAGTATATTACCCAAGTGAGCAGATCTGACATATTGACCTGATTTGATAAATCTAACAGATTTGATCACTTTGATCACTTTTGTAATCAAATAATTAATATTTAATTATATATATATATAAATCAACTGTCCAAAACAGTTAACACAAGATTTTATCTATTGAATTCTCTTATTCTTGACATTATATATCTCTAATAAACCTTCTAATTAAACCAAATTATCCAAAGTCTTTTTAAACATATCTGTATAATCTCTACTATTCTTGAATTATCAACTTTAGTATATCACAATCAAGGTATTCTCTGGAAACAATTAGGAAGTCTTGCTCAATATTAAAGATATTCACTTGGAACACTAGTTGAAAAAAAATTATTTGGCATACTGTCACTCATATAACATTCGGCAAAAAATACTATCACTCATGTAACATTTGGCAAAAAATAAACAATTCAGCAAAAAAAATGTCATAAATAAATCGGCAACTACAAAAATTGACAATCAAAACTATTCATTAAAAATTCATCAAAAATTCATCAACTATT